CTCGTTAGATTGGTGCATTGTACCGTAATCGTGTAAGACAATTTTTTCATGAATCTAGCAACTCATCTTCATACGTGGGTTGTTAACAGTTGGAAATTTGACTTATATTACAGTAAAATGAACTAATGATGTCATCGTATATAAATATAGTTGAAGCATTGTGCGCACGCCGTGGCTTTATGCTTGTCGGCCTATGCGAGAGCGATAGCTGCTTCCTGTGCCTGGGCTGCACATGGGATTCGTGTCAAATTAAAGAGTGAACTAATATTTGTACAAGTACACAATTTAGTCCTCGCCCAAATATGTTTTATTATTATATTCATATCTAAGTGGTGCGAGATTTTTCTTAGTATGTTATCTCAAGATTGTGTATTATTTGAGAACACAAATTTTAAAATACGACTGCTTATTTGAGTTAAATATAAATGGAGTTGGTTGTTTAAACCGTTTGATCTTTGATAAATATTGAGTTTTAAAATACCATCTTAAGGATATTTACTTTATTAAACGGAGTGTTACAAACCTTTATATGTTAACCTTTGTTTTTTATACTCACGTACAAAATACGACCCGTTGCACCATCGGAGTGGGAAAACTTTTTCGCCAATCAAGGGAGCTTGGTAAAGGGTGTGTCAACCTTCCAAATAAGCCCTTCACAATTTAAAATTAGATTCTGATAAAAGTTAATGAAATGTGTGAACGAAAAGTTATGAAATCCATGAAATATATAGTTAAAGTTAATAATTGACTATGATTTAGATTAAAATATGTATTTTAATCGATATCAAACAAAGGCTAAATAAATATGAAATTTAGGGTCCATTTTTTATAGAAAAACTTCTGGGGGAAATTATGTTAGGCCAATTTTTTATAGAACCATTTTTACTATAGCCGAACCCGAAACTTGAGTTTCCGTTCAACTAGTTGACATCCTTAGTTATCATGATCCGATCAAATCATCCATGAATTGACTATTGACTTGAATAAATTTGCATCAATGTCCATTTCAATATTTAAGCTACACTTATTTGCTACGCCTCACCTCATGTGAAGTTCTAGCCCCCTCCACCTAGAGGCTATGTGGAGACCAAGTATAAATGGACAAATTGACCATAGAAGTGTGAAAGATGTAAGTGAAATGAAAAAAGGTCACGGGATTGACGCTTGATAAATGCATCAGTCTAATGACATTATATTGCTTAGGAATGTCAATTAAAAGAAGGGAAAATTGCGACTGTGGTCCCAAACCTTTCATTTTGTTGCAGATTACACCCAAACCTTTTATTTTTGCGGCCAAAGTCCCAAACCTTTATATATAGTTGCAGCGTCGGTCCCAAGCCTTTAATTCCGTCCATAAAGCCGTCAGTCAACGTTCCAACAGTAATTTTGACTCGAAAAAATTGCAACGCTGGTCCCAAACCTTTCATTTTGTTGCAGATTACACCCAAACTTCTAA